TATGTATTCATTTAAAGCTGGGAAACTTGCATGATTGGTCTGATATTCATTCAACTTTAGGCATGTTTCCAGATTGCTCAGACTATTCACAGAGCGAACTAATTGTTAACATGCTGGACTGGAGAAATGTTTTGATATCCCTGATATTCTAAAGCTATTGGAAATGAAGGAGAAACTGAAAATAGTGGAGAAGTATAAAAATGGCAAAAGTAAGTGTGCTGTTTCTATAACTAGAGCAGCATTTCTATATTCCACTGGGACGAAGGAATCCTTGAAATACATCATCCTCCCTGAGCTGCTCTGTTTTTCAAAGAACTCTGGCTCACTGAAACTGCCTTCAGGGGCAAGTTCCTTGATTTTAATTCAGGCAAGTTCCTTGTACCTTGGTATAACTTTAGTAAAGACCATGGGATTTTTAACTGGGGGGGGGGGATCTGTGGAAGTTAAAATAAAAACTCTTCTAAATGTATATTAAAAGTAAGAAAAAAATCTGCATATAGTTTTCAGAGAAAAACTTTTTTAGTGCAAACCCTGAAATGTGATGCCAAAGGATACAATGTGAAACCGGACATAACAGCTAGTTGTCTGGCATCTAATATCTTATCATAAACTACACTGAAATAAATAGTGGTTGGCTCATTAAATATTTATGTACTTTGTACAGTCGAAACGTGCACATGCTGTTTAGTTTCAGCATCTGATGATGCAGTTAAAATGTAACAAATTGCAACTAGCGTAGTTATCTCACTGTAAAAAATGACCGTGAATTTAACAGTAAAAGACTGTAAAAATGCTACAGTAAAAACCTGTTAAATGGTTCACTGTAAATTCCCCTACTATATACGGTGAAAAACTGTATTGGACATTACATGTATTGGACATAAATTTTACAGTAGTATACCGTTTTTGGAAGTGAAAAATACAGTATAATTTACAGTGAATAACCGTAAATTGACATTCCCAGAATTCCCTGCTTTACATTTCAAATTTGATGGTTTTTTGTTGAAATAACTATGTTTCTTCTTAGTTTTTTCTTATCAGTTTTGTATATTAGGGTTGTGTGTTACACCTAATGTTGTTAAATTAATGTTTATTGCATTATTTCAGTTTCATGTGTGTTACCATGATGGTGTTTAGTGTTTGTGTGACTGACACTGTGCACCTTCTATATATGTTATTATATAAAAGCTGCTTGTGATGGGCTTTGGTTCATCATGTGACTTTCTCATCACCACCTGCATTTGGTGGTTATCAGTGTATTTCAGATTTAATATTAACATAATATCAGTTAATGAAATTACGGTATTTAACTGTAAATTTAAGTTAAAACCGTAAAAAGTAAAACGTTGCTACTGTATTTTTACAGTAAAATTCCAGCAACCACAGCTGCCGTTTTTTACCGTAAATTTTACGGAATTTTTTTTACAGTGTGGCAAAGTAACTACTGACAAACATTTGTTAAAAAAAACAAGTTGAGTGTGGTCCTTGTCCAATTCAATGTATTTAATTCGTAAATATGCAAATAATGAAGTTAAAATGTTGTAAAAGTGCAGTCAAATTAGTGACATTTCATGGCCAAAAAAGTCAACTGTAGACTATCAATACTGCAGTGATGTATGTAGCACAGCTCAGCTGACAGAGGTCACTTTCAAACTAAGCAGCTTCTGTTGGTCAACATGGCATATCCGTATGACCAAAACTTTTTCCCTCGTGTGAAATTCCTGATCGCTGGATTTCTATTGAAAGGACTGGGTTTTGCCAGTGGAAATTCTCTGAATCATAGTTAATGTGATTGCACCCAAAAATGAACATTTTACCATCGTTTACATTTTGTACCAAACCTGTATGTGTTCTTCTGTTGAACAAGAACGTTGTTAGCAGTGGATGGTAGCCATTGGTTTCCATAGTATTTTTTTTCCATACTATGGAAGTAAATGTCCACCGTCAACTGTATCAAAACTGTCAACTTCAAAATAACTTATTTTGTGTTCAGTAGAAGAAAGCAACTCATAAAGGTTTGGAACAGCATTAGGGTAAGTAATTGATGACAGAATGTTCATTTTTGGGTGAACTATACCTTTAAGAAATAGAGTTCTGCAGGGATGAGAGAATTTTTGTAAGCCAAAACTCTTGTCGAGCAGAAGCAAAGCAAACTCTGAATCTGTTTTCAAGTACATTTCTCAGCTTCCCTCCAGTGATGAAAAGTTTTCCTACGTTCACTCTTAGCTTCTTTTTTGGCCACTTTATTTCAACTATCTTCCAATTCTTTAAGTACATTTTGGCTGTGTAAGCCGTTGATGACAGCAAACATTTCGCAACTTCCAAACTAATTAAAACTAGTTCACGATTGTAGACTACCTGCTGTGACTGTGCTAAATGATTGGTAGTTCACCCAAAAATGAAAATGTTACCATCGTTTACAAGCTTTCTGATTGGCAAAACAAGATTCTGAACTATTGACTCCTTTTTATTTTACTATTTAGGGCCGGCACCTTGATATCTGAGGACAGTTCAGTCATGTTTGTATGATCATTGTCTGCATATCATTCCATTAAAAGTCTACTAAACTCTTAGGGTTTAAACACAATTGAGTACCCAGGATTAGTTACAAACTGGTGTGATAAAAAAAAGTTTAATAAAACAAATCAAAATTATGTTAAACCGAGAAGTGAAAAGTGTAAAAAATAGAGAGCAAAATGCCTTTTTTTTTTTTCAAATACACAATTTACTTACTAAATGAGGAGACTCAGCTGATGGGAAGTGTACAGGGAATGTAATTTTCTCTTTTAACAGCAGGGTGCAGGCTTGCAAAAGAAACATCCTTATCACTACATTCACTAATATACACAAATATATGCACAAAAATGAATCAAACCGTAAGTTCAAGCTTGAAAAAGGAAGCAGAACACGGTTTAAAGGTGTTTTAATGTCAAAATCAAACTTTTACATGTCACATACCAAACTTTCAAACCATTCTAACCCCTTTTGATTTGTTATTTGTCATATGTCGAACGCATTAATTCCATGAGAGAGAGCTTCAAAAACTCCTCTTTCACATAGCATAAAAACAGAGAAATAAAAAACATTTTCCTCACAGGTGCAGGATTAAAGACCGTCAACATGCCTTTCAGGTTAAAGTTCAGGGGTCATTTCTCTACAGGGTAGCAGTAAAATGGCGGATGTTGGGCGAGTACATGAGTTCAGTGTTTATCTCATAAAAAAGTTCAAGTGAATGTTACGCTTTAGACACAATGTTATTTTGCCCTCCCCGTTCCTCCCCGTTTTGCAGTAAGTGAGTTGAACTGTTAGGTAAACGTGCAGGAAAAAAGAACGAAAGAAAGAAAGAAAACACACGGTTTCATATACATAGTCCGTTACGCACCCCATAATGTACACTACTTACAGACTGCTGTATAACAGCATATTTCGCCTATAAACCTGGCAAAGGAAAGACGCCATTTTTAGAGACAGTTTCCCTCTTCTCAAGTCCTCCGGTTTCACAAACCCTGTATAGGCCAGTTCAACAGGCTCCTCTCATCAAGGCGCTGAACCGCAGGTTCTGGGCTAGTCTTTTTCAGCTAAGTTTGTGCACCAGTGCTTCGAGTAAAACCAGAAAAGCTGGACAGATTTTGGCATAGATGGACTGGAGTCCACCAGTCCCGCTCCAGACCCAAGGCTGTTCCGTGAAGTGAAAGGGATGAGTCTGCGATTCTCACCGCCGACAGGTAGTCTGTCTGAAAAAGGGAAAGAGGGCTCCCCAACAGTATGGCCTTGTGAGGACAAATTCGGAGCGCAGTCTAAAGCTCAGCTTTGATAACGGGCTGAGGACACATACTGAATCTCAAGTTTCCTGAGAGTTGGTGAAATACATGTCAGTTTGTTCTTATCAATCAGATTGTACTTACAATGCATAACAAGAGCTAAAAAAAAAAGAAAGTAATTCCTAAACTCAATTTGAAAAATCCAGAGGCTTGATGAAGACCTGGACGAGGCTGCCGTAAGATTAACAAAGACTCATTAAAATGTCCTGATTGGTTTTAACTGTAATACAGGTATTTGAACAACTAGCTACATTGTGTGTGTCATTTCTGGCTAAATTAAAAATCTGGCTCTCCTCCATCGAACTTTTCACACCGACCTCACTTTGCATTCACACACGGCCCTCCTAAAGAGGTAATATCCTCAGAAAGAACAACAAAATCTGATTCTTATTTAACAAAATAAGCATTAGCTTATCCTCATGCAATGTTGCCTTTAAAGAAATTTGGTTTACATATGATCTCTGCTTAAAAGGGATGAGATACAGTATATTTGTCGTTTATAGTATAGTATAGATGTTTCTAAACAATGTTTAATGCCCCTGTGTATGCACTTTACACAGATGATTAGTTATTCAAATACACTTCAGTGTCTTATATACTAGTTGAAGATCAAGCAGGCAAAAATGCTACATCTACTTTCAAAAAACCGTTTCTTAAAAAAGCCTCAGGTTTGCCAAAATGTCTGTTTATAAGTACACACACACTTTTACACACACATCTGCACTAAATGGATATAGACATGTATCTCAGTGTGTGTGTGTGTGCGTGTGTGTGTGTTTGTGCTGTGTACAGAGTACTGTATGTGTGGCATGATTTAATTGGCTGATTTAAACTCTGAGATCTGATGGGATGGTAAATTAACAGTCATTGTGATAATACAGAAGCGATGAAATAGCAAAGAATTCCATTTGAACATTTCAAAGCACTATTGAGAGCTGTAATATATTCCAATATTTGTATAAAAAAAAACAAAAAAACAGGTACTGTAGCTCTACAAATGATAAAAATGAATGACCAGACTAAATAGCAAAGAATTCCATTTGAACATTTCAAAGCACTATTGAGAGCTGTAATATATTCCAATATTTGTATAAAAAAAACAAAAAAACAGGTACTGTAGCTCTACAAATGATAAAAATGAATGACCAGACTTTTTTTTTCTTTTCTTTTTTTTCCCCCTCTCTAAAAGTCTGTGATGAAAGCATTTACATGTCTAGTGTTTACCATGTGGCTGTAATTAAATAACCATACTGGCTCAGCGACAGGAAACTAGTTAGATTAAAATATTTAGTTGACGCTGTCGCCCTATGATTGGTTAGGAATTCCTTTTTCCTGATGCTACATGGTTGTATTTTCATGATGTGCCATGATCGGATGAAATGAGCATCCATTTATGTGGTCCGTGACTGGATTTTGTCCATCAGTCCCCACATCACCCGCTGTCTGTGGGAGGCCTAACATGCAAGCATTTGCCATTGACAAGTCTATCCAAGTTTATGAAAGAATAAAAGATGCTTCACTTTTTCTCCTCAACTTTTATATTTTGCATCTAGTGTAATGAACTGATGATGAATTTTTGGCAAGGAGAAGACGCCTGTTTTGAACAGGTATAGGCTAGTATCTAAATGATCCTCCTGCTCTGGTGCAGTGAAGTTGCTCTGAGGGCTGGCTGCAGCTCACAGGTACACTTCCCTGCGAGACAGAGTGAGGCACGAGGTGGTCTTATAGTCGCCCCCCGTCCTCGTAAGTGGAATGACCTCTGGGGGGTGTGAGTCTTCTTCATCCGAACGGCGGCCAAAGCTGGCACTGCTGAATGTGTCGTAGGATGCCGAGGTCATCTTCCGGTTCAGGAGATTACGGTTGTGATCGCCCATGTTCCTGTTCCGGTCCCGAAGGCTGAGCGTTCCGAGCGGATCTCCGTTTGCAAGCGAATCCCGGACCTCCTCGCTTCCTCCGCTGCTCTTATCCGTACCTCCGTCTCCGTCTTCCTCTCGGTCGCTGTCGTCTTCTGTGTTGTTGTTGTTATCGCCGGGCGAGGCGAAGGTGGAGAGTTGGGGTGGTTCCATGCGTCTCCGTGGTGATAGTTGCACGGGCATCCAGCAGGTGTCAGAGTGACCAAACTCATCACACTCTTGTGTGCACTTTCCTGTCAGAGCCACGTCAGGGAGCTGCCTGGGGTCTGAGGAACAGAGAAAGAGGCAGTTTTAGGATGTCCTGTCAGGGAACTGTCTCTATTGAAATATGCGTGGGTCATAGGTCAACATTTTTTCTTCAGACTGTCAAGTTTTAGACACTCATGATGTCCCTGGAGAATAAGTGACTCTGTCTGTCTACAGTGGCGTCCGAAGGCCTGCGACCAGGTTTATGTCAGTCTGAGTACTGCTGTAATATACTGCTGTAAATAATGCAAAGGAGAAGGACAAACCAAAATGAGAACAAGCCAAATTCTAAGAGTTAATGTTAACATTTTAATTGCTGGAAATATAATTCATAATGATAAGAACATGGTATAAAATTAGAAAAATAATCTAAATAAAACCACACTGTAAAAATACTACAGTAAAATGTTTAATTGCAAGTTCCCTTACTATATACCATGAAAAAACTTAATGGGACATTTTAAGTACTTTTACATTAAATACTAATAAACAGATTTTAGAAGTATAAACACATTTTTATAATTTACAGTGAACAAAAATGTACACTGATATTCCCACAGTTCCCTGAGATATTACATTTAATGGTATTTTATTTAAACAATTATGTTTCCTGTTAGTTTTTGTTAGCGATTATGTACATTAGGGTTTTATATTCCATCTTATGTTGTTTGATTCATGTTTATTGCATGATTTTAGTGTTTTAATGTTGCAGTTTTGTATTTGGGTGCACTGTGTGAAAAAATGCCAGTGTTTAATATAATATAATATAATATAATATAATAAATGATTCATGCAGCTCTAGCACTGCTGTCATTAAAGGGACAGTTCACCCCAAAATGAAAAAGCTGTCATCATTTACTCACCCTCATGGAATTCTAAACCTGGATGACTGTCTTTCTTCTGTGGAACATAAAATAGGTTATTTTAAGAAATGTCTTAGTGTGCTTTGTCCATACAGTGGACGTTAATGATAGCCAAACTGTTCAGTTACCAATGTTATTTTTGGGTGAACTATCCCTTTAAAAGGAAAAACAACAACAACAACATATGCACGTCATTTTTCACTAGCGGTCTCAGACCTTTCCCACAGATGGCTTTTTACCATTTTCCACATGCTCCTCCTCGCCTACGCTCCCTTCTGGTGTCGTCCTTTCATATCCGTCCTCAGGCAGCGGTAAAGATCCCAGTCTGGGTCCAGAGGAGCTCTTGCTACTGGGGGTCTCAGAGTCCTCCACTCCACTATCATAGCAGCATTGATCAGGTGTCTGACTCACCACAGAAAATGTCACTCTTCTGAGGGGCTGCGGAGAGACACCGGGAGACATGGGATTAAACCATGATAGGTGACAGAAGGTATTACATCAGTGAAGATTATCTGTATAAGACCTAAAAGATTGATCTGACTTCACAATGATCTCTCACTGATACTCTGTGGATAAATAAATAAATCTATAAATAACAAACATGTATACAGTAGCATTATACTAAGAAATAAAAAGCATGTTATGGCACCTGAATATCACAAAGACTTGAAGTGGGCTCTTTTGACTTAATTAACCACCTGCAACATCCAGCCATAGCAACACCCTGGCAACCATCAATGTTGTTTTAAAATTATTTGTGTACTATTATAGTTTTTATTAAAAAAAAATTTTTTATTGAATTTTCTTTCTTTCTTTTTTTCTTTTTATATTTTCATATTCATTTTATCTTAATATATTCTGTTATGTGCGTTTGTCTTTGTTTTAATTGCTACTATTTATGTTTAATTTAGTTTTTATTAATTTCCAGGTAGTAGGGTTATTACAGTTAAATAAAACTAAAACTGAAACTGAAATTAAAACCATTAAAAAGTGACTTAAAATGTTTCATGTTATGTTCTCATTTTAATTTATTTTAACTTGGTCTACTAATATAGCTACAACAAAAACTAGAAAAATATAATAATAATAAAAATTGTGACATAGTTTTGAACAAAAGGCCAAAATGAAGTTTGTTATAGTTCACATCAGAAGAACAAAAATAAGTAAATCGGGGCTTTTATCTAAAATTTTCATCTAATATTTATATTTATATTTAATTTTTCAGCTTTAATTAACTTAATAAAAATGATTTTAATAGTAATAATAGTTTAATTATATTAGTTTTAGCTTTAATTAATCCTGTAAACCATAGGATCATGTTTTGCATTGAAAAGCACCAGTCACATTTTCTTCAGAAAATGTAAAAAATATAGTTATAAATATAATTAGAAACAAAACCTTTTATTACACCTTGCGGAATACTTCATGGCATGTGTTTTATGGCTTCATCTATGGGTGTGACTCCATCTCCCCAACCTAATCTCACACTAGAAAATCAGCACATTCAAGGTCTCCAACAAAATCATAAAGTCTCGTTGAGGTTGCCTGAAACCGAAAGGAGAAATGAACGGAAAGTCTACAGCCAACCAAACGAGTCCCACATTGTCCCTTCAGTGTCTACTGGAGCGATGACTGACAGCTGTTAGGAGAACTGCCTTATGAGAAGCACATTTATATGCTCCGGTGTCGGCCTTAATCAAGACAATGTGAACAGAGAGAGAAGGGCAGTGAGAGAGCGTGTTAAATGAACAGAGTAATTAACTGATGGTTTCATTTTTCACTGGGGGGAAGTGGAATCGTAACAGAGGGGAGAGAGAGTGATGAATCAGACTTTATGGGTGTCAGGTGTCAAATGTAGCAAGCGACAAATGAACATTAATAGAACAAATCATCTGTTTTGTCTGTGAGCCGGTGTCTGACATTGTTCTGCGGGACAGCAGTTTTTTAAAGGGGTCATGAAATGGAGAACAAAGGTTCTTGACATATACAATTCAGTAGGTTACTCCACAATAAAAATACTAAGAGGTTTACAACTCGAAACTAACTCCCCATTTAAAAAATATGAATTATTCTTTTCTACCCTCATGAAACGCCTGGATTTAAAAATAAGGAGAATCATCACATTACGATTAACCTCGATAAACGTGTCATCGTCGTATGTAATCAAGGAGGTGTGTTCTGAACATGTCTGTTCTTTCATCAATCACAAGAGCAATACTGCAGTTGGACACAGATTCGGGTCGAGTAAGACCGTTAAACTCAAGACGTTGTTCTGTCAGTGGACGTACAGAAAATAGACCTCCAAAAACTCTGCATAGCCTTCTTAAAGATCTGAGCATTAGAAAGCCATAGCATTTAGAAATGTAATGTATTTTTAATGATGTGCCTGAGCAACTGAAAGATGTTTGTTTGCTCTTCATATTTCACAACGGACTGTTTTGTGAATTATTCTAAACATGTTGCCAGTTTTTCACAATATCTTTTATTGAAAGATATGGCGGTTCCAAGCATTCTGTCCAGGTAAGGTACATTTATTTTTAGTCTTACAGTGTTTGTAATAAACATCAGTTTTTAAAAGGTCATGTGTTGCAAATGGTTGTATTGTTCAAATTTCTTCTGCCTCGGGCTCAAACATACGGCTCTATCACAGCATGTACCATCTCGAATATCAAAACACACGACATGCTGTATAGGATGGTATAGATACAGCACGATAAAGCCAATCACAGCGATCAAAGATAATGGCCCTTGAAATTGTGTGTGTTTTACTGAGAGTGAAAATGAGGATGGAAAATGATCATTTTAACAAATATTTGCAAAATTTTCAAACTTCATAAATTAACCTCAAGGAACACAATATAAAAATCTGAATGTTCCCTTTAAAAAATAAGCTTTTTATTCCTTATATTCTGTATATAGTATCATTTTCATATGATTCTATGTTGGATCTGGAGCATAATGCGTGATAATTTGATGCTAATGCTTACAGTCATTTCTAGAAGATCCTCGAATCTTTAATATTGTCTTTGTACCTTCCTGCATTGTGCACTTTTCTCCGTGTGCATCTCTGGAGGCACATAAAGACACACACACACACAAACACACTACTCAGCTTTATGTTGAGCCAATCAATGCAGTGCCCTTGACCCTTGCTGGAAGTCTCAGTGGAACGCTGTTTTATTGACCCATGATTTCCCACCATTGTTTACTAACTCCACTCCTCACTTTTCTCAGAATTTCTGCCTTTCAATTAAGACTGGGGGATCTCTTAACTCATACATCGAGCGAAACACTGTGCAGTTTCAGAGATGCATTATGTAAGTGCTTTCTCAACTGATGCGTAGCAACACAGAAAAGGGTTGCAGGTCTGTTCTGATTATAAACAGCAGGGGAAAACAATGCTGAATGGAAATTATAAAATGCAACTACCTTTTAATCGTATTCAGTCAGTATAGCATAATAAACAGCCTTATGAACTTTAGTGACGTCAACATTTACATGTATGCATTTGGCAGCTGCTGTTATCCGAAGCGACTCATACTGGATTCAAGGTATACTTTTTTTCAGCTCATGCATTCCCTGGGAATCGAACCCATGACCTTGGTAGAGACCTATGAAATGAACATTTAGCCAAATTCCGGGATACTGGTTGACTGGATTCCATGAATTTCTTGCACCATGATCTGCTGTTTGAGCTACAGAATGCATTTCAAAATCCATACTTCCAGTCAAACTACTGGTAAAGTATTTTGAACCAAATTCATCATAATTCAGCAAAACCAGTTGCTTTCTATGAGAACTGTACACGGTTGACTCATTTGACTGTACGAGGGTTGGACTAGAGGCTCAATAACATGGGTGGGAATATAAGCCTGTTTGCTGCATTGTTTTATCGGCACAGTGGAACCAATCAGATTACGGCGGATTTCATGTTGAATTACCAAGCCCTGCTGTCTTACGTTTGCCACTGTATACTGATTACCCAAGCCCAAGCTTCATTTGATTTGTTTTTTAATGAAGAGTAATTAACTTCATTTTTAAGCATGATATCTGCATTTAAATCAATTGCTAAAGAACACAGTTCATGAAGAACGTTTCAGATCATCGTAGAACATCATTTTATCCACACAGCTGCCTGAAGGGTTTCTACAAATTACCCACTGAATTGAATCTCACCTACTCATTTTTGAGGTTTCATGAGTAATGTCTCTATACAGTAGGTTGCTCCAAATAAGCTGCACATAATCAATTTTAGTTGAATATTTATCAGCTTATATGGCTGAGAAACAGTATAATTAGCCCTATTATGAGTGTGAGAAAGCAGCTAAAGGTTTGTCTCAAGGTTTGTCGTAGTTTCCTTGACAAATAGCGAGCCATTGTACTAAGCAGTTATCATTAAGCTTAGTTTTAAAGTGATTCTCACTGTCATTGTGTATTATCTGTTGAGAAACACTTTCAGTTAAAGCCTTGCTAACCTGTGGGTGAAGGTCTCTTATAGGAAGGGGGGAACATCACAAATGAGATCTCTTTAATATCTTTGTTTCTCTTAAGTGAGTTTAAATGGTGAATAAATGGAGCTGTTACTTGAGTCTTTTGCTTTTTTCTGAGAAAAAGGCCACTGTAATCTCAAGTGTGTCTCTTCGAGAGTTCTAGAAAAGGAAATTAAATAGACTTCATCAAGAACTCATATATGGTCTTCTTATCAAATTATTCCAAGGCCAAACAATCTGAATAGTGATATTCATGTTAATAGTATGCCATATAAATTTTATATTACTGTATGTCAACAATTTTGACTAATTGTATGTCTCTTTAATACACTACTCTTCAAAAGCTTGAGGTTTGTTAGATTTATTTTTAAGAAATGAATAGCAGAAAAATACATTATAGCAAAAGTGACAGTAAAACTATTACTAAAGATTTCTATTTCACACAAATGCTGTTCTTTGGAAATTTCTATTCAACAAAGAATCCTGAAAACAAAAAGTATCACAGTTTCCACAAAAATATTACACAATAATTTATTAATAATTATAAATGTTTCTTGAGCACCAAATCAGCATATTAGAATGATTTCTGAAGGATCATGTGACACTAAAGACTGAAGTAATGGCTGCTGAAAAACAAGCTTTACCATCACAGAATTTAATTAGGCCTACATGTTAAAATATATATTTTAAATTAATAATATTAACGTTAAAATATGTAAAATATATATATATATATATATATATATATTTTTTTTTTTTAACCCAAAAGTTTTGAATGGTAGTGTACATCTGAAACAAATCTTACACTCAAATGAAGAAGAACGTGAAACTTCACTCTCTTCTGAGCCATAAATCAAACATTTGAGTAATGAAATGTCCCTCTGGGCTCTTTAATATAATGCATATTTAGAAGCTGCACCTGTATATCATGCATGAAAGATATGTTTT